ACTGCAATAGCATTTGAGACCCATAAGCATTCTAAATATGTTATTATATTATAGTTACGCGAGTACCATTCAAAGGTCGCCTCGTATATTCAAACCAGAGCTGGCAGATGTAAAAAGACTGACAGTACGTTTGGAAATGCATAGTCTTAACCTCCTTGAAGGTTTTAACAAACCTGGCAATCATGTTGCCACAGACAGACAGAGCTCTTCTCTGTCGTTCTACATCACAATCATCTTTTCTGTCTGCTGTCACCATGTGGCCGAGGTATTTGAACCTTTGAACTATTTCAACAGGTTGTCACTTCAAGCACATTAGTGGGGCCCTTTCCCGTCTTAACAATCACCATCTCCGTCTTTTTTGCATTATAAATTTAATTTATATAGTTCTTTAGCAAACTTTTTGCATATTAATTTCCATAGATATTAATTTCCATAGATATTAATTTCCGCATGCCCTTGATTATAGGGCTGAGCGATACCATTACCGTCACTCAGCGTAACTTAGATTGTTAACGTAACAGTTACCAAACCCGAGTCCGACCGGCTTACAACACCGTCGTAAATATTAAAAATAAAACATTTTTTCACCTTAAGATTAGCAACGTTTGAATATTTTGTTTTTATGGCGAGAATTCAACCATTAGCTGAGCGCTATTGAAAAGCCATATTGAAAAGGCATACTGCAGCTAGATTAGTAGTATAGTTATAGCACGAATGGGTCGGCTCGACCGGGGAAGGACCACGCCCTCACAGAATACCAGCGTAAAATGGCAGCTTGACGCTGTTGTGTTTCGTATGGTGAGTCTAGAGAACCGGAGACCCATTTTACTGGAAAAGAGGCATTCCATCTTAGTCCTCACGGGTGACGACGCATCTGCATTTTGATTCTTTATTGAGCCACAGTCACAGCAACCACTTACCATCAGGTGCTCGTTTGTCAATCTATCCTATAAAAAAAACATTTCGTCCAACCACCATTGGCTTTGAGTGATCGCGCCAATTCTTCCGCGTATTATAGGTTTAAAAGGAAAAATAGACTTTTAGAAAGAACTTGGGAAAGAAGTGCAGTTCGGATGAAATCCAAATCCAAGAACCAAAATATATTAACGAGTACCATTCACATACTATCATAAGCCAAGCAAAAGCTCGATTCCAGACAGTTGTTGTATAAGGTGTAAAAACTGCGCAAGGAACCTTGACTTAATACGAGGAGCTTCTATTGCTGGACTAACGTAGCTAGGCGTAAGGCGTCCCCCCACTAGATGGAGTGACGGCCTGGTAAGACATGCAGGAAATCGATGGATGCAGATGGCTTAAGACCGAGCTTTGTAGTATTCCTTGGTCTATGTTCTATGTTCTACTCGGATGTGTTCGTCGCGCCACAAGTGGAACATACCGAAGCCTAAATCACGCTATCAAAGCTCCAAAGTACTGCAGTCATCATCATTATCATTACAGCCCTTTACAAGTCCACTGCTGAACATAGAACTCCCGATCGCCCAGCAGCAGTCGTAGACACAAGATACGCCGCCCATTGTCAAGGTATTGTGCTGTCCATTCCCTTTATTATGAGGTTTTTTATTTAATTATTCAAAGTGGAACAGCTAACAGCTACATTATATATTATATTAAACACAGGTAGTACAGTAACATTAATATGCGCAATAATGCAGTCCACAGTGCTGTTCACAGATTACCTCTTGAGATAGATAATTAAGACGCTAGGAGACCTGCAGCTGTACAAAACGTATTATATAAGTGTCAAAGTATGGTCAGCATTGGTATTATAATGTGACCGAGGTGGCAAATTATTATTTGAAAAGTGTCTTGTATAAAAGACACGAAACCTTTCCGTTGAGCATGTATATTGTCTAAGGTATATAGTACACACGCGGCACTCTCCGCCATTTTGTTTTGGTTCCTAGAACCACGATACACCACTATAATCGCATGGTCCTTCGAATCGCAGCCCACTGCTGAACCAACGTAATTAGCTAACCTAATAACATCTTACAGTGACCATATCAATATTAAAAAAATTTCATGTTTTAAATGCATAGATTGACTTGGCAATCGCACTAAACAGCCTATTTTAATATAATTTGTGTTACTTGTGAGATACATTGTGTTTTCATGCGACATATCAATCATATATGTAGTCCCAAATTTTTTTATACCTTTGTTTCTTTTACCTCTTGGTCCATATATTTTATGTGTTCCTCGCCCGGAAGGAAATCTCCCTTTTTCCTTAAACGGATTAAAAAGTATAAAATTATTTCTTCTAGCACCATATAGATTTAAACAGATGAAACTAAAAATGTGGGGTGCACGGATTAAAAAAAAGGCAAGGAGCGTGTGAGCCATAGCAGCTCAGGAGCTAAACCCTCACTGAAGATTTCACGTGAGCATGCCGGGTTGGATTCCCACCAGTATCAAAGAAATTATTAATTATAATTTAAGTGCTGAATTAGCAAATGCTCGGCGGCGAAGAAAACTGCTTACCATCGAGTGAAAATTCTTGTTTAAGAAATTAAAAACAATGTTTTGAAGACATGAAAAGTTCGTCAACATGCATTGAAACAGCGCGGCATCCACTTTCTTTCCTTAAATCTAAGCCTTTTAACAGTGGTAGAGCTAAGCGGTAGCTTTTGCTGTCGCACGGATGGGCCAGCTCGAACCGGGGCGGTACCACGACCTCACAGAATACCAGCGTGAAGTAGAGGTTTACCTCTGCGTTGCGCTTGGTGAGTGCAGGTGGCCAGAGGCCCAATCCCAACCCCCATCAACATGGTAGTGGAATTAAATAAAAGACTACCCCAGGAGGGTACCAGCACCCCTGGAGAATCCCTCGCTGAGCATCCACGACCAAACTACTTCACTCCTGAGCGTAGGTGCTCAGGCTGCCCGGCGTATTCTTGGGGGGGGGGGGGGGGGGGAGGGGGGTAAAAATTCCGCTCGCGACTAATGCTGCTTGGGGCAAGCGGAGCAATACAACCATGGCGACCCTTGTCACGCTATCCGTGAATTTTTGCAACATCAGGGGACTTCATTCCAACCTTAACGCTGTCCATTACCATCTAGAGACGGCGAAGCCGGCCTAGCTCTTTTTAACCGAGACTCAGGTGTCCTCTCCGGCTGATACTTCATATCTCTCCTACCCGGGGTACAAATTAGAACACTCCTTTGTGCCCCGGGTTGGAGTTTGCGTATACGTCAGAGAGGACATCTGTTTTCGATGATGGACGACCTGTCCATCCTATGGCTGCGCGTAGACAGCGACGACCATCTCCGCGTCTACGGGTGCCTCTATAGGTCCCATAGCGGTAATGCCGACACAGACCGACTCATCGACCACGTTCAAATGGCTGCAGACTCCATGCTACAACGTGTTCCATCCGCAGAGATCGTGATCCTTGGCGATTTTAACGCCCACCACGCTGAATGGCTTGGTTCTCGTTTAACCGATCATGCGGGTAGATCTGTCTATGACCTTGCTTTGGCATATGGTCTAACACAAATGGTTACTTCGCCTACGCGGATCCCAGATGTAAAAGACCTGTTGGACCTTCTGCTGACCTCTCATCCGGACGGATATCATGTCTCCGTCGATGCCCCTCTGGGCTTTTCGGAACATTGTCTGATCCGGAGTACAGTGCCACTTAAGCTCCAATTGCAGTTGCGATCTGCAGCTTGCCGCCGTGTTTGGCACTATAGGTCAGCTGATTGGGACGGGATGCAGTCTTTTTTTTAATCCTACCCTTGGGGGTGGGTTTGCTTCTCGCCGGAAGGTCCGAGCGTTGTTGCCGATTCTGTTGCTGATGTGGTACTTCAGGGTATGGAACTTTTTATTCCATATACGTACACACCTTATATTTTATTATGTACTTATCGAGATCTGCAAATTAACCTATGTTCACAAAATAAACAGATTTGATTTGATTTGATTCGATCAGCCCGAGAAACTCCATGTGGTAGTTCGGAGCAATTCTATACATATACTGTAGTTATTGGGGGAATATTTGCCATAGTTGCCACGCCTAGCGAGCGGGTTGGCATCCGCAGACTATTTATTGAAATCTTGCTGTTATGAGGAAGATGTTGCTGCCCATCTCCTGTCTTTTTCCCACTGTTGCCTCTTACGACACCCACGGGAAGATACGGGTTAGTGGATATTCTTGAACGCCACTACACGGCTAGTAGGAAAAAAGGTTCTCGAGTGGCAGCCTCGTAACGGTAGTCGAAGTGAAAGGCGTCCCCCCACTAGATGGAGTGACAGCCTGGTAAGACATGCAGGAAATCGATGGACCGAGCTTTGTCGTATTCCTTGGTCTATGTTCTATGTTCTACTCGGGAGTTCTATGTTCAGCAGTGGACTTGTAAAGGGCTATAATGATAATGATGATGACTGCAGTACTTCGAAGCTTTGATAGCGTGATTTAGGCTGCGATATGTTCCACTTGTGGCGCGACGAACACATCCGAGTAGAACATAGAACATAGACCAAGGAATACTACAACTGAAACATACCGAAGCCAGACCACAGTCCGTATTGAAATCGGGGTACGTAGTTGTTTTTTCCTTAAAATAATTATATTCTTTCTTTAGTCTCTCTTCCAGTTCTAAGCTTCGAGTTCAATATTTCAAGTCTGTTAAAGTTTCAAGTTTCTAGCTCATCGGAAAGTTAGTTTAATTGAATTTAACAATTTGTATAGAAGAGATAAGGAAAGTTTTAGAAATTAAATGTTTTTTTCATATTTTTATTTATTTTATTTATTCTTGATTAAGAAAACAAAAAATATTCAGGAGAGTTGCCCATCATTTTCAAAACCATATCAAGGTACCTCAATTAAAAATCTTTTAGAAATTAGGAATAAAAACAATTTCTTCAAATGCTCGTATTTATTAAACAATTTCAATATAAAGATGTATCCAATTAAACATTATGTATTCTATTGATTGCATAGTATGCATTGCTTATATGTTTGTATGCGTGTATTTCATTAAGAGATGCCACGTCGTCCAATCTTAATTATGTAGTTCCTTCGAATAAGTCTACATGGTTTACGAATACCAGAACGTCCGCATCCGAACAGTCCTCCATCCGATAGACCGGAAGTCGTAGTGGCAGCGGTAGTGGCCGCGGCAGGTGCACCAGTTGCACCAGCGCCGTAACCATCTTGTAAGCCTTGGTTTCCAGCGGCAGCGGTACCACCAGCGGCAGCGGCAGAGGCAGAGCCTGCACTGGAGCCGAGTCCACCTAATCCATTTTGTCCTGCATTATTAGAACCCGAAGCACTTGAAGCGGAACTGCCACTATTAGCACCCGATCCATTTCCACCCTCGTTGACTATGACAGTGGGGTTTGGACCGCCGTATGGTGCGAACAATGAAGATGATCCATAGTTACCGAGCCTGAATCTTTCAAAGACAGAATCGTAGTAGTCAGACACGTAGTTAGAGCCTGCGGCTGCGTTTGATTCTGCAAATGATCCAGGTCTATTTTCATTTACTACAACAGTTTGTCCTCCTTGTCCGAGTTGTAACCCAGAACCGTATCCAACGTAGCCTGAAGCACCATCACCAGCAGCAGCTGCGGCTGAAGTTCCGGCCGCGGCGCTTGCACCAGAGCCACCAGCGCCGTATCCACCTTGTCTTAAGCCTTGGTTTTCAGACGTGGCGCCTGAGGCTGCGGCAGCAGATGCTGCACCAGACCCTGATCCCGAACCTCCTCTATACAGATCGACATATTGTCCTCCTTGTCCGAGTTGTAACCCAGAACCGTATCCAACGTAGCCTGAAGCACCGTCACCGGCACCGGCTGCGGCTGCGGCTGAAGTTGCGGCCGCGGCGCCTGCACCAGATCCACCAGCGCCGGATCTAAGCTGTCCTGAACCTTGGTTTTCAGACGCGGCACCCGAGGCAGCGGCAGCGGATGCTGCACCTGACCCTGATCCCGAACCTCCTCTGTACAGGTCGATGTATTGTCCCCCTTGTCCGAGTTGTAACCCAGAACCGTATCCAACGTAGCCTGAAGCACCTTCACCGGCACCGGCTGCGGCTGAAGTTGCGGCCGCGGCGCCTGCACCAGATCCACCAGCGCTGTATCCAAGTTGTCCTATGCCTTGGTTTTCAGACGCGGCGCCTGAGGCTGCGGCAGAAGATGCTCCACCAGACCCTGATCCCGAACCTCCTCTGTACAGATCGACATATTGTCCTCCTTGTCCGAGTTGTAACCCAGAACCGTATCCAACGTAGCCTGAAGCACCGTCACCGGCACCGGCTGCGGCTGCGGCTGAAGTTGCGGCCGCGGCTCCTGCACCAGATCCACCAGCGCCGTATCCAAGTTGTCCTATGCCTTGGTTTTCAGACGCGGCGCCTGAGGCTGCGGCAGAAGATGCTGCACCAGACCCTGATCCCGAACCTCCTCTGTACAGATCGACATATTGTCCTCCTTGTCCGAGTTGTAACCCAGAACCGTATCCAACGTATTCTGAAGCACCATCACCAGCAGCTGCTGCGGCTGAAGTTGCGGCCGTGGCGCTTGCACCAGAGCCACCAGCGCCGTATCCACTTTGTCTTAAGCCTTGGTTATCAGACGTGGCGCCCGAGGCAGCGGCAGCGGATGCTGCACCAGACCCCGATCCCGAACCTCCTCTGTACAGGTCGATATATTGTCCTCCTTGTCCGAGTTGTAACCCAGAACCGTATCCAACGTAGCCTGAAGCACCTTCACCGGCACCGGCTGCGGCTGAAGTTGCGGCCGCGGCGCCTGCACCAGATCCACCAGCGCCGTATCCAAGTTGTCTTATGCCTTGGTTTTCAGACGCGGCACCTGAGGCAGCGGCAGCAGATGCTGCACCTGACCCTGATCCCGAACCTCCTCTGTTTAGGTCGACATATTGTCCTCCTTGTCCGAGTTGTAACCCAGAACCGTATCCAACGTAGCCCGAAGCACCATCACCAGCAGCAGCTGCGGCTGAAGTTGCGGCCGCGGCGCTTGCACCAGAGCCACCAGCGCCGTATCCACTTTGTCTTAAGCCTTGGTTTTCAGACGTGGCGCCCGAGGCAGCGGCAGCGGATGCTGCACCAGACCCCGATCCCGAACCTCCTCTGTACAGGTCGATATATTGTCCTCCTTGTCCGAGTTGTAACCCAGAACCGTATCCAACGTAGCCTGAAGCACCTTCACCGGCACCGGCTGCAGCTGAAGTTGCGGCCGCGGCGCCTGCACCAGATCCACCAGCGCCGTATCCAAGTTGTCTTATGCCTTGGTTTTCAGACGCGGCACCTGAGGCAGCGGCAGCAGATGCTGCACCTGACCCTGATCCCGAACCTCCTCTGTACAGGTCGATATATTGTCCTCCTTGTCCGAGTTGTAACCCAGAACCGTATCCAACGTAGCCTGAAGCACCTTCACCGGCACCAGCTGCGGCTGAAGTTGCGGCCGCGGCGCCTGCACCAGATATACCAGCGCCGTATCCAAATTGTCCTATGCCTTGGTTTTCAGACGCGGCGCCTGAGGCTGCGGCAGAAGATGCTGCACCAGACCCTGATCCCGAACCTACTCTGTACAGATCGACATATTGTCCTCCTTGTCCGAGTTGTAACCCAGAACCGTATCCAACGTAGCCTGAAGCACCTTCACCGGCACCGGCTGCGGCTGAAGTTGCGGCCGCGGCGCCTGCACCAGATCCACCAGCGCCGTATCCAAGTTGTCCTATGCCTTGGTTTTCAGACGCGGCGCCTGAGGCTGCGGCAGAAGATGCTCCACCAGAACCTGATCCCGAACCTCCTCTGTACAGATCGACATATTGTCCTCCTTGTCCGAGTTGTAACCCAGAACCGTATCCAACGTAGCCTGAAGCACCGTCACCGGCACCGGCTGCGGCTGCGGCTGAAGTTGCGGCCGCGGCGCCTGCACCAGATCCACCAGCGCCGTATCCAAGTTGTCCTATGCCTTGGTTTTCAGACGCGGCGCCTGAGGCTGCGGCAGAAGATGCTGCACCAGACCCTGATCCCGAACCTCCTCTGTACAGATCGACATATTGTCCTCCTTGTCCGAGTTGTAACCCAGAAACGTATCCAACGTAGCCTGAAGCACCATCACCAGCAGCTGCTGCGGCTGAAGTTGCGGCCGCGGCGCTTGCACCAGAGCCACCAGCGCCGTATCCACTTTGTCTTAAGCCTTGGTTTTCAGACGTGGCGCCCGAGGCAGCGGCAGCGGATGCTGCACCAGACCCTGATCCCGAACCTCCTCTGTACAGGTTGATATATTGTCCTCCTTGTCCGAGTTGTAACCCAGAACCGTATCCAACGTAGCCTGAAGCACCTTCACCGGCACCGGCTGCGGCTGAAGTTGCGGCCACGGCGCCTGCACCAGATCCACCAGCGCCGTATCCACTTTGTCTTAAGCCTTGATTTTCAGACGTGGCGCCCGAGACAGCGGCAGCGGATGCTGCACCTGACCCTGATCCCGAACCTCCTCTGTACAGGTCGATATATTGTCCCCCTTGTCCGAGTTGTAACCCAGAACCGTATCCAACGAAGCCTGAAGCACCATCACCGGCACCGGCTGCGGCTGAAGTTGTGGCCGCGGCACCTGCACCAGATCCACCAGCGCCGTATCCAAGTTGTGTTATGCCTTGGTTTTCAGACGTGGCGCCCGAGGCAGCGGCAGCGGATGCTGCACCTGACCCTGATCCCGAACCTCCTCTGTACAGGTCGATGTATTGTCCCCCTTGTCCGAGTTGTAACCCAGAACCGTATCCAACGTAGCCTGAAGCACCTTCACCGGCACCGGCTGCGGCTGAAGTTGCGGCCGCGGCGCCTGCACCAGATCCACCAGCACCGTATCCAAGTTGTCCTATGCCTTGGTTTTCAGACGCGGCGCCTGAGGCTGCGGCAGAAGATGCTGCACCAGACCCTGATCCCGAACCTCCTCTGTACAGATCGACATATTGTCCTCCTTGTCCGAGTTGTAACCCAGAACCGTATCCAACGTAGCCTGAAGCACCATCACCAGCAGCTGCTGCGGCTGAAGTTGCGGCCGCGGCGCTTGCACCAGAGCCACCAGCGCCGTATCCACTTTGTCTTAAGCCTTGGTTTTCAGACGTGGCAACCGAGGCAGCGGCAGCGGATGCTGCACCTGACCCAGATCCCGAACCTCCTCTGTACAGGTCGATATATTGTCCCCCTTGTCCAAGTTGTAACCCAGAACCATATCCAACGTAGCCTGAAGCACCTTCACCGGCACCGGCTGTGGCTGAAGTTGCGGCCGCGGCGCCTGCACCAGATCCACCAGCGCCGTATCCAAGTTGTGTTATGCCTTGGTTTTCAGACGCGGCGCCTGAGGCAGTGGCAGCAGATGCTGCACCTGACCCTGATCCCGAACCGCCTCTGTTTAGGTCGACATATTGTCCTCCTTGTCCGAGTTGTAACCCAGAACCGTATCCAACGTAGCCTGAAGCACCATCACCAGCAGCTGCTGCGGCTGAATTTGCGGCCGCGGCGCTTGCACCAGAGCCACCAGCGCCGTATCCACTTTGTCCTAAGCCTTGGTTTTCAGACGCGGCGCCTGAGGCTGCGGCAGAAGATGCTGCACCAGACCCTGATCCCGAACCTCCTCTGTACAGGTCGATATATTGTCCCCCTTGTCCGAGTTGTAACCCAGAACCGTATCCAACGTAGCGTGAAGCACTTTCACCGGCACCAGCTGAGGCTGAAGTTGCGGCCGTGGCTACTGCACCAGATCCGCCAACGCCGTATCCAAGTTGTCCTATGCCTTGGTTTTCAGACGCGGCGCCTGAGGCTGCGGCAGAAGATGCTGCACCAGACCCTGATCCCGAACCTCCTCTGTACAGATCGACATATTGTCCTCCTTGTCCGAGTTGTAACCCAGAACCGTATCCAATGTAGCCTGAAGCACCGTCACTGGCACCGGCTGCGGCTGAACTTGCGGCCGAGGCACCTGCACCAGATCCACCGTCACCGTATCCATCTTGTAAGCGTTGGTTTCCAGCGGCGGCGGCAGCACCAGCTGCAGCAGCTGAGGAAGAGCCGGCACTGGAGCCGAGTCCACCTAATCCATTTTGTCCTGCACTATTAGAATCCGAAGCACTAGAAGCGGAACTGCCACTATTAGCTCCCGATCTATTTCCACGCTCGTTGACTATTACATTGCGGTTTTGACCGCCGTATGGTGCGAACAATGAAGATGATCCATAGTTACCGAGCCTGAATCTTTCAAAGACAGCATCGTAGTAGTCAGACGCGTAGTTAGAGCTTGCAGCTGCGTTTGATTCTGCAAATGCTCCAGGTCCATTTTCATTTAGTACAACAGTTTGTCCTTCTTGTCCCAGTTGTAAACCAGACCCATATCCTACGTAGCCTGGAGCACCGTTACCGGCAGCGGCTGCAGCTGAAGTTGCAGCCGCGGCGCCTGCACCAGAGCCACCAACGCCGTACCCAAGTTGTCCTAAGCTTTGGTTTTCAGACGCAGCGCCTGAGGCTGCGGCAGCAGATGCTGCACCAGACCCTGATCCCGAACCTCGTCTGTTTAGGTTGACATATTGTCCTCCTTGTCCGAGTTGTAACCCAGAACCGTATCCAACGTAGCCTGAAGCACCGTCACCGGCACCGGCCGCGGCTGAAGTTGCGGCCGCGGCACCTGTACCAGATCCACCAGCGCCGGATCCAAGTTGTCCTAAGCCTTGGTTTTCAGACGCGGCGCCCGAGGCAGCGGCAGCAGATGCTGCACCTGACCCTGATCCCGAACCTCCTCTGTACAGGTCGACATATTGTCCTCCTTGTCCGATTTGTAACCCAGAACCATATCCAACGTAGCCTGAAGCACCGTCACCGGCACCGGCTGCGGCTGCGGCTGAAGTTGCAGCCGCGGCGCCTGCACCAGATCCTCCAGCGCCGTATCCACTTCGTGTATAGCCTTGGTTATTAGTCGCGGCGCCCGAGGCAGCGGCAGCAGATGCTGCACCTGACCCTGATCCCGAACTTCCTCTGTATAGGTCTTCATATTGTCCTCCTTGTCCGAGTTGTAACCCAGAACCGTATCCAATGTAGCCAGAAGCACCGTCACCAGCAGCGGCTGCGGCTGAAGTTGCGGCCGCAGCGCCTGCACCAGATCCACCATCGCCGTATCCAAGTTGTCCCAAGCCTTGGTTTTCGGACGCGGCGCCCGAGGCTGCGGCAGCAGATGCTGCACCTGACCCTGATCCCGAACCTCCTCTGTACAGGTCGACATATTGTCCTCCTTGTCCGAGTTGTAACCCAGAACCGTATCCATCGTAGCCTGAAGCACCGTCACCGGCACCGGCTGCGGCTGCGGTTGAAGTTGCGGATGCGGCGCTTGCACCAGATCCTCCAGCGCCGTATCCACTTTGTCTAAAGCCTTGGTTTTCAGACGCGGCGCCCGAGGCAGCGGCAGCAGATGCTGCACCTGACCCTGATCCCGAACCTCCTCTGTACAGGTCAACATATTGTCCTCCTTGTCCGAGTTGTAACCCAGAACCGTATCCATCGTAGCCAGAAGCACCGTCACCGGCACCGGCTGCGGCTGCGGCTGAAGTTGCGGACGCGGCGCCTGCACCAGATCCTCCAGCGCCGTATCCACTTTGTCTAAAGCCTTGGTTTTCAGACGCGGCGCCCGAGGCAGCGGCAGCAGATGCTGCACCTGACCCTGATCCCGAACCTCCTCTGTACAGGTCGACATATTGTCCTCCTTGTCCGAGTTGTAACCCGGAACCGTATCCAATGTAGCCAGAAGCACCGTCACCAGCAGCGGCTGCGGCTGAAGTTGCGGACGCGGCGCCTGCACCAGATCCTCCAGCGCCGTATCCACTTTGTCTAAAGCCTTGGTTTTCAGACGCGGCGCCCGAGGCAGCGGCAGCAGATGCTGCACCTGACCCTGATCCCGAACCTCCTCTGTACAGGTCGACATATTGTCCTCCTTGTCCGATTTGTAACCCAGAACCGTATCCAACGTAGCCTGAAGCACCGTCACCGGCACCGGCTGCGGCTGCGGCTGAAGTTGCAGCCGCGGCGCCTGCACCAGATCCTCCAGCACCGTATCCACTTCGTGTATAGCCTTGGTTATTAGTCGCGGCGCCCGAGGCAGCGGCAGCAGATGCTGCACCTGACCCTGATCCCGAACTTCCTCTGTATAGGTCTTCATATTGTCCTCCTCGTCCGAGTTGTAACCCAGAACCATATCCAACGTAGCCTGAAGCACCTTCACCGGCACCGGCTGCGGCTGAAGTTGCGGCCGCGGCGCCTGCACCAGATCCACCAGCGCCGGATCCAAGTTGTCCTAAGCCTTGGTTTTCAGACTCGGCGCCTGAGGCAGCGGCAGCGGTTGCTGCACCTGACCCTGATCCCGAACCTCCTCTGTACAGGTCGACATATTGTCCTCCTTGTCCGAGTTGTAACCCAGAACCGTATCCATCGTAGCCTGAAGCACCGTCACCGGCACCGGCTGCGGCTGCGGTTGAAGTTGCGGATGCGGCGCCTGCACCAGATCCTCCAGCGCCGTATCCACTTTGTCTAAAGCCTTGGTTTTCAGACGCGGCGCCCGAGGCAGCGGCAGCAGATGCTGCACCTGACCCTGATCCCGAACCTCCTCTGTACAGGTCAACATATTGTCCTCCTTGTCCGAGTTGTAACCCAGAACCGTATCCATCGTAGCCAGAAGCACCGTCATCGGCACCGGCTGCGGCTGCGGCTGAAGTTGCGGACGCGGCGCCTGCACCAGATCCTCCAGCGCCGTATCCACTTTGTCTAAAGCCTTGGTTTTCAGACGCGGCGCCCGAGGCAGCGGCAGCAGATGCTGCACCTGACCCTGATCCCGAACCTCCTCTGTACAGGTCGACATATTGTCCTCCTTGTCCGAGTTGTAACCCGGAACCGTATCCAATGTAGCCAGAAGCACCGTCACCAGCAGCGGCTGCGGCTGAAGTTGCGGACGCGGCGCCTGCACCAGATCCTCCAGCGCCGTATCCACTTTGTCTAAAGCCTTGGTTTTCAGACGCGGCGCCCGAGGCAGCGGCAGCAGATGCTGCACCTGACCCTGATCCCGAACCTCCTCTGTACAGGTCGACATATTGTCCTCCTTGTCCGATTTGTAACCCAGAACCATATCCAACGTAGCCTGAAGCACCGTCACCGGCACCGGCTGCGGCTGCGGCTGAAGTTGCAGCCGCGGCGCCTGCACCAGATCCTCCAGCGCCGTATCCACTTCGTGTATAGCCTTGGTTATTAGTCGCGGCGCCCGAGGCAGCGGCAGCAGATGCTGCACCTGACCCTGATCCCGAACTTCCTCTGTATAGGTCTTCATATTGTCCTCCTCGTCCGAGTTGTAACCCAGAACCATATCCAACGTAGCCTGAAGCACCTTCACCGGCACCGGCTGCGGCTGAAGTTGCGGCCGCGGCGCCTGCACCAGATCCACCAGCGCCGGATCCACTTTGTCTAAAGCCTTGGTTTTCAGACGCGGCGCCCGAGGCAGCGGCAGCAGATGCTGCACCTGACCCTGATCCCGAACCTCCTCTGTACAGGTCAATATATTGTCCTCCTTGTCCGAGTTGTAACCCAGAACCGTATCCATCGTAGCCAGAAGCACCGTCATCGGCACCGGCTGCGGCTGCGGCTGAAGTTGCGGACGCGGCGCCTGCACCAGATCCTCCAGCGCCGTATCCACTTTGTCTAAAGCCTTGGTTTTCAGACGCGGCGCCCGAGGCAGCGGCAGCAGATGCTGCACCTGACCCTGATCCCGAACCTCCTCTGTACAGGTCGACATATTGTCCTCCTTGTCCGAGTTGTAACCCGGAACCGTATCCAATGTAGCCAGAAGCACCGTCACCAGCAGCGGCTGCGGCTGAAGTTGCGGACGCGGCGCCTGCACCAGATCCTCCAGCGCCGTATCCACTTTGTCTAAAGCCTTGGTTTTCAGACGCGGCGCCCGAGGCAGCGGCAGCAGATGCTGCACCTGACCCTGATCCCGAACCTCCTCTGTACAGGTCGACATATTGTCCTCCTTGTCCGATTTGTAACCCAGAACCGTATCCAACGTAGCCTGAAGCACCGTCACCGGCACCGGCTACGGCTGCGGCTGAAGTTGCAGCCGCGGCGCCTGCACCAGATCCTCCAGCGCCGTATCCACTTCGTGTATAGCCTTGGTTATTAGTCGCGGCGCCCGAGGCAGCGGCAGCAGATGCTGCACCTGACCCTGATCCCGAACTTCCTCTGTATAGGTCTTCATATTGTCCTCCTCGTCCGAGTTGTAACCCAGAACCATATCCAACGTAGCCTGAAGCACCTTCACCGGCACCGGCTGCGGCTGAAGTTGCGGCCGCGGCGCCTGCACCAGATCCACCAGCGCCGGATCCAAGTTGTCCTAAGCCTTGGTTTTCAGACTCGGCGCCTGAGGCAGCGGCAGCGGTTGCTGCACCTGACCCTGATCCCGAACCTCCTCTGTACAGGTCGACATATTGTCCTCCTTGTCCGATTTGTAACCCAGAACCGTATCCAACGTAGCCTGAAGCACCGTCACCGGCACCGGCTGCGGCTGCGGCTGAAGTTGCAGCCGCGGCGCCTGCACCAGATCCTCCAGCGCCGTATCCACTTCGTGTATAGCCTTGGTTATTAGTCGCGGCGCCCGAGGCAGCGGCAGCAGATGCTGCACCTGACCCTGATCCCGAACTTCCTCTGTATAGGTCTTCATATTGTCCTCCTCGTCCGAGTTGTAACCCAGAACCATATCCAACGTAGCCTGAAGCACCTTCACCGGCACCGGCTGCGGCTGAAGTTGCGGCCGCGGCGCCTGCACCAGATCCACCAGCGCCGTATCCAAGTTGTGTTATGCCTTGGTTTTCAGACGCGGCGCCTGAGGCAGCGGCAGCAGATGCTGCACCTGACCCTGATCCCGAACCGCCTCTGTTTAGGTCAACATATTGTCCTCCTTGTCCGAGTTGTAACCCAGAACCGTATCCAACGTAGCCTGAAGCACCTTCACCGGCACCGGCTGCGGCTGAAGTTGCGGCCGCGGCGCCTGCACCAGATCCACCAGCGCCGGATCCAAGTTGTCCTAAGCCTTGGTTTTCGGACGCGGCGCCTGAGGCTGCGGCAGAAGATGCTGCACCAGACCCTGATCCCGAACCTCCTCTGTACAGATCGACATATTGTCCTCCTTGTCCGAGTTGTAACCCAGAACCGTATCCAACGTAGCCTGAAGCACCGTTACCGGCAGCGGCTGCGGTTGCAGCTGCGGCCGTGTCGCCTGCAGCATATCCACCAGCACCGTATCTACGTTGTCCAAAGCCTTGCTTTTCAGAAGCGGCGCCTGAGGCAGCGGCAGCGGTAGAGCCTGCACTGGAGCCAAATCCACCTAAGCTATATTGTCCAGCGCTATTAGAGCCCGAAACACTTGAAGCGGAACTGCCACTACCAGTACCGTATCTATATCCATCCTCATTTAATATGACAGTGGAATCTTGACCGCCATTTTCTCCGAAGGTATCAAGTTCGAATAGTCCAGATCCTAAATCGTAAATGTTGCTGCCGGAACGATATCCTGCGTCAGCGTTCGATGCTGCAGATGAGCCAGATCCGTTTTCGTTGATGATGACATTCTGTCCTCTTTGGCCGAATTGTGACCTTGATCCGAAGTCATTATATCCATTGGCAAGTGCTGCTGAAGCAGCGCTTGAGGACGCACTTGACGCTGATGGTTGCGACACTGTCGTTTCGACAACATCCGTCTCACTTATTGTTTCTTCCCCTTGGGCATTTGTTTGAATGACGATAGTTCTGGTTATTGTTTCACCGGATGCATTATGTTTAGTTTTCGATTTGTCTACAAATTCTTTAGTTGTAATTTGTCGTTCAACTAATGTGCCGTTATTGATTATCGTTTCATCAGATTTGGTTTCAGTAGTTTCTTCATAGTTATTGCTCCCCGATAGAAAGCGTTTTACATCATCGTCTAATACGTCTGCAGCTACGTACTGTTTAAAATAAAACATAATGATTAATCGTTATCTGCTTGACTGTCACTTAAATTTTATTATTATTATGAACGTTATTTTTTATACATGTTACTTAATTTTAATTATAAGAAGAACTTGGTTACACAATGACAAAATAGTCCATTTATCCATCCAATACTAGCCCATGAAAATCTATTGATGAACATAGGCCTCCCCATAGATTGTTTCCTAGGAGATATTTTGCCATAGTTGCCACGCTTGGTAGACGGGTTGGCAATATAGTAATACCATGAAACTGTTTTAAGTATGTAACGAGTATGATTATGTTTAATAGTTACATAATACGTAAACATAATCATACTCGTCATACGTCTTATTATTTATATCACGCTATTATGGAAATGATTTAACTAAAATAGGAGTCTAGGAGGAATCCTATATAAGCTGAGAAGAAAGTAGGTAATATTTTTCAACTTACTACTAGACCAAAATATAGCGAACTTTTTAGTAATACTTCATCATCTCATCTTCTTAAAAAACGTTACCCCCACACTAGGACTTTCTCCTGTATCGTGGAGGCAGTTTACAAACACAAACTGCACAAGGACAAACATCCAGACCCGGAACAATGATTTGTAGGCCATACAAATACTTGTTCCGTGCGGGAATCGAACCCGCGGCCCCCAACGCAGCAACTCATTGCTAAGCCACTGCGCCACGGAACCGTCTAACTTAAAGATTAAGTTTAATATACTAGAACGATTAATAATACAAAACTATTTTTTATTCAAATTAATAAAAAGTCTTTATTAGACGAAAATAAATTGAGTAGATCATTTTGGAAAATTATAAACTCACCTGCAACGCACAACACAGGATCACAAAGGTTGTGACTCTCATTTTGTTGAGAGTTGGAACCGGACTGATACTTCTGCTCAATTTTTGAAGCCTTTTTATACGCATAAATTCTGAGAAATGACGTATGATGCCTGTTATGTGAATGGAATAATTAAAGTAAATCAAATATTGACTAAACAAACAAATAATTTAAGTATTTACTTTAAAACAATAAGTACTGAAGTTACCTTGCGATTTCGAACAATATTTTTAATTTTCGCTTGATGAAGTATTGTAGTCAAGTAACAAAAAGAATAAAGTAAACAACTAAATACATCTACGGAAAAAATGCGGTTATATTTTTTTTAATTTTGTTTTACCTATATTTAAATTATTTTAGTGTTAGGCATCGCATGGTGTCAGTTACCTACCTACCCAGTTCTTTAATTTTGGGAAATTCAAGAGATAATGATTTCTTATATTTACGCAATCACTACATATTAAATGAAACTCTGTAATTTTACGAATTTTATTGTATTTAGTTTTTTTTTTTTAACTTATTAATTTCCGACTTTAAGATATTGTAAGCGCGTGCTACGTAGATCACACCACCAAATTAATATCCAAAAACTGAAGGTAGCCGGGCTAACTAAACATAGGGACGTTAAACACATCAGTCGTCGACCCCGTGACCGTGTGTGCGGGAAAGCACCCGAAAAGTCGGAAATTTAAAATTAAACGCGATATTGAGTGGGGGGGAAGATCGAACGGTTTTTTGATGAGATGAGCAGTGTTGTGTTTGACGTCTTGTAGAACAGTACATATTAACTTAAGCTAAAATTATATCTATTGTGAATAAAGTACAAAGAGCATATTTTTATGTCATATCGATAAATCCCTGTTATATTTATTCAAAAGCAAAAAAAAAATTAATTACAATGTTTTTATCGAAAGAAAAAAACAGGGGGAAAGATGAAAGGGTGGTGGGGTAAGATCGAAGTAGTTTCTTGGTAGTTTCTAAAATTGTTCAAATTAATGTCAAACGATATTGACCGTCAGTAGGCTACAATTTTAATTGTCCTGACACTTCAGAACTGTCTATAATATAAAAATACCTTCAAATAACACAGATAACACAAATTATTTGTTTTTATATTTCAATCTTGTCCCGCCGGGGAAAGATTGAACTAGAGCTTCTCAAACTTTTCACTTTACTTGGATAAGATTATACACAAAATGAACGATATCAATCATATAATTTTTTTTATTGTTAATGCCAATATAATTTTAAACACAATTACGTACGTGTACCTTTTACCATTTTGGTCAACAAAATATGTAGCACAAAACGTAAAAAATCAAATATTTCAAAATTAAACAGCTAACCAATTAATAACATCTTAGAAAAATGCCACAAATAAAAACATAGAAAAACTGCTAAAAATATTACCCAAACATTAATAAAAAATTTGTAGTAGATCCACGTCTACAGCTCACTGTAACACATAAATGAGCAGGGTTGACCGGTGCGATACTACCCTCTCACAGAAAATCAGCGTGAAGTGTTTAGCTTCTTAGTGGCTGCTATGTTTCGTCTGGTGAGTGAGAGTTCCGGATGCCCGTTCCTTTTCCCCTTTTCTTAAGGCCACCCGAATGTTGACGTTTGATAGATAAACCGATGTAACGTTGCATTGTTCTAGGAGCTGTGATGTTGCATTTACTAACGAGTGTCTGGTGGTATTTTATTTAGTAACACTCCTGTTGTTTCTTGTGTCTATGGGCAGCGGTGAAATCACTTAGGCATCAGAAGACCCGCTTGCTCTTTTTGCCTCTCTTATAATATACAAAAATTAAAATAAATACATTTAGATAATATTAGCTCAAATTGTGCCGCTGACAATTTATATAATGGCTGTAACAAAACAAAACATTTTTTCAGGTACAGTTTGAGAACATGAGACCATTTGTATGACTTTTGAAAACGGGGCAAGATGGAAACTTTTATATGTTTATCTTACCCCGTCAAATATTGGCGGGTAAAGACGGATTGTTACAATAAATCCTAAAATCCAAAAAGTAGCGATATTTAGACATAGCAACATAACTACCAATTAAAAATAATAAGTATGTATACAAATAAAAAACTCGTACCTACCTCGTAAATCAAGTTACAGGACACGGGGTAAGATTAAAACACCCGACTTGCTCGCGTAAAATTCACAGCGTAGATATTCCCTTATAACACACAGCCAATCCCTCAAAACGACAAGTGCCGACTTAGGTGTGGTACGTAACAAAATGGCGGTCTTATGAATGTTACCTGCATTGGATAAATTACACAAAATCTGTTTTTACTGATGCCTTTTTGTCTTACCCCGTTTTTCATCTTCCCCCCACTCACCCTAAAATCCATAAAATTTGTTTCATTGAAAATTCAAGAAAATAATAATGATATTTAAATTCAGAATGCTCATATGTTTGATACAATTATTTATATATTTTTAATTTTTGTAAGATATATTTATATATATTTTTATTCATCATCATCATCACAATCATCATTACATCCCTTCAAAATTCTACAGCTGACTATAGGCCAGCCTCAAAGAACACCACAAAGTCCTGTGGTCATTATTTCATTATAGACATATACAGGAGGTCATTTTAGCCTTTTAATTTTAATTTTATTTTCTCATTATTTATAAAAAAGCGACTTATACAGATCATCATCATAAAAGCCTATCAAAGTTCACTGCTGAACATAAGTCTCTTCAAAGATTGCCTCATAATAGGGATATTTGTCACAGTTGCCATGTCTGGCATGCGGGTTGGCAACCGCAGATTTTTTTTTCTAGTGGTTATTAGGAAGAAGCTGCTGTCCATCCCCTAGTTTATTTTCCTCTGTTGTATCTTACGACACACGTTATGGCGGATATTCTTACATTTTTCTACAGGGTAATTTATACATAATCGGATTAATTATGGGATCCCAAGCAGATGGTAGCACCCAGATATCTTCTCTGTTGAAATTAGAAATTCGATAAATATTTATTAATTATGGGATCCCAAGCAATTGGTAGCACCCAGCCATCTTCTCTATTATAGTTAGAAATTCGATTAAAAAATTAAATCCCAACCCAAGCATACAACTGCAAGACTTCAAGATACTGTAAGCTAATACTGCGTAGATCGAAACAAAAATTAATAATTTTTAATCTGGAGGTAGCCATGGGACTATGACATTGGGACGTCATACACCTCAGTCCAACCGTGACCATGGGTGCTGTAAAGTACTCGAAACGTCGGGATTATAAAATAAGTTAATATACGCGATAAAATCCGTAAAACTAGTTTTATTTAAATGACTCTTTGTTCCAATAATATTAAAAGTAAGTCCTTTTATTTTTCTTTAAGTACGAGTAGCACTTAAGGTTTGCTTTAAGCCGCTATGTTAGATTTTTCGTGACGTCATAATCATATAGGGCACACTGAAAGTTTTGCGCTCCATGCCATAAATGTTTGAATTTAGAAAGTTATATTTTTTTTAAATGTTATATATAAGAAACTTATTTATTAATAAAGTGTAGTGGGAATCCGTTATGGTTCTTTAAACGATGTCATCCGAAATAAGATCTCTTGTCTCTATAAATAATATTCCTTCGGTTTTAAAGCCTTGTGGAATATTTGGAGACGATGGCAAGAGACCTGACGGTATGACTTTGGTCCCTTGGGAGAGAGGTTTACCTCTTGCCTTCTTCTCCACTGTGGTGGGTGGAAGGAAAGGGGAGATCTCCCACCGGGCAAGGTGTTCTGCCCGGGGAGCGGCCAACGCTCCCGATTGGTAGTTCGGAGCTATTCTATATATACTGTTTTAAGTTCGGAACTTTGTTAGTGCAATTTAGGCTTCGATGTGTTTCGCTTGTGGCGCGACGACAGCGCCGCCACATCACCCCCCTGCTCAGCCTGCTCAGACCGGAGGTCGATAGTGCAGTCCAATTGCCGGTGCGTCCTTAATGCCGGTGGGGAATGCATGCCATACTACGCACTTACAAGTGATCCCGGTGAGAATGATGAGCCGGAGCAAGTGCCAGGGATTGCCTTGTGATCTGCGGTGAATCGAGAAGAAGGCAAGTAATCTGCGAAAGTGCCGTGAAGCAGAGGCTAGCAGTAAGGCTCAGAGCCGTGCCGAATACTGTAACGCAGAGAGTAGCATGAAGGAACAGAAAGCATTATTATTCCAGTGCTGCGATGAACCTTTGTGAAGCTAGATGGCTTGCAGAATGTGAAGACTGCAGATAATATCTGCTCGGGAGCGAATGTATGGGGTACTTGAGGATGATGACGAAGGTTTTGAAGTTGTAGTTTCCGAAGGTTGTTGGTTGCGTGTTCATATCACTCAGAAAGAACTCGGTCGTCGACGATTCGAACCACTCTGCGCTGGATACGGTCAAGTGGAAGGAGCTGGCACTGGGGTGCCCCGGCCCAGAGATAAGAACAGTATTACATGTGAGACCAAACTTGTGCTTTGTAAAGTTGCAAGCGATGTGCCGGCATGAAATACTGTCTCGCTCTGCTGAGCACGCCAAGCTTTTTAGAGGCCAATTTGGCCTTCCCTTCCAAGTGACCACGAAACTGCACACTATTCGATATGTCGACGCCGATGATTCCGATGCTAGCTGAGGCAGCAAGGGGAGTGCTGTGAAACTGAGGAGAATTTTTAGCGGTAAACGCGCAAACTTGTGACTTCTGGGGATTGAACTGGACTAGATTTAGTCGGCCCCAATCCGAGACTTTGTTCAGCAAAGACTCGACTTCAGACACAAGTTTGTCCCAGTACTCGGCGACGTTTTCACGAGAAATATTGGTACGGCCAGTATATAAGGTATCACCAGTGCTGTCGTCTGCATAGCAATGAATGTTACCAGTTTGCAACATTGATGTGCAGGAGAAACAGCGTTGGTGATAGCATGCAGCCTTGTGGAACACCAGCGTTGATAGACTTGAAATCAGAGCATGCACCGTCTACTACGACCTTGATGCTCCGATCAGCAAGGAAACTGGTG